AGCAAGGAGCAGCTTGGTTTGTAGAACAAGTACAAACTCAAGCTTATTTTTCGTCAAATAGGCCAATGCGCATGCAGTGTGATATTCCCTGTTAACCTTCTGTTCTTTTTTGGGAGAAAGGAACTTAGCATGGCATGCAGGTGTCTTTGCTATTTATCTCTATTTCTAAATGGTTCCCGGTTCCCTTTTCCCTTTTACTACTTTACAAGTTATGGATTGTCTTGGATGCAATATTTGTTTATTCCAAAAGAACATATTTATAATAAAATCATCATAGGATTTTTAAGAAGTTAGTGAATTCAGTTTGTTTCTTTTTATTCCAGAAATGACAGGAAGCAACTCCATGCCTTGGACCCGCCGAGGGTGTGTGTTGTGACTTTGGGAGACGAGGTGTGAGAGTGCAGGGACTCAGCTTTCTGTTTCAATGTTTAGCCTCTGGGCATTGGAAGGTCGAGGTCTGATACTGTCTCCAACCAGGAGAGTCATCTGCTGACCCCAGCCTTGGCTTTACTGTACCTCAGATCTCATGTGTCTTGTCCTGAGGTTCTTGCAATGAACATGCCCTTTGCTGTTCATCACTGGCCTGGCTTGTGAGAGCCTTTATCAAGTATGTGCAGGATTGCCCAGGTTACAAAGACTTAAAATCACTGGGGTTCTGCCTGTCTGACAAGCTGAGCACTTTCCTCTCTGTGCTTTTTATATGATCTACTGTGGTCCTTTGGTTTGATTTAGGCAGGTCTTACGTTACAGGTTGAAGTTGTATTGGGTATAAAATGAGGTTTGTTGGAAAGTATGAGGCCCTGAGTTTGATTCCTGGTATGCCCCCCACCCCCCAAAAAAGAGATTTGGTGTCATCAAAAATTGTGCAGTGGTAATCCAAAGCAGTGGCGTTGATCAGATGATGAAGTCTTTTAGCTATTTCAGTTATTCTTTATGCAGGCTTCTCACCTCCGTTTAGTATTATGTGTTTGCTTTACCACTTTATTTCCTCTTTGCCGCACAGAATGCCATGAGATGATAGCGGACTGAATTCTGATAATTTTTAGAATTCAGCTTGTCTCGCTTTTATTGTGTCTTAAGGTATTTGCTAATAAGAGCTTTTTACAGCCTCAAACCAGTTTTCTATAAATCTAGAACAGCTTGTCTCCAAGTAGAGGCCTGATTTTTGGGGGGCCCATACCCTGTATGCTGTCTTATGGGCTAGGTCTGGTTATGTTTTGGATAGTTCAAACATTTCAGCATCTTTGCAAAGAGATATCAAGGCCTCCATCATGAGTTCTAAGAGAAGACATTCTGTTACCACTCATTATTAGTGACTTGTAGCTAACCCCACAATTAACAATCTTTTGTGGACTGGCTTGATAAGTGACTTCAGCCTCCAAGTCTTAAAATTCACTCTAGAAATGAGGACACTGGGACATAAGGTCTCTGAGCCACGGCAAAGCTGATGTTCTGGTCAGCAAGACAACTATCCTGGGCTGAGATTTTACGGACCACGATTTACTAATTCTGGAGAAACAAAATGTCTTATTAAATCACCCCACATATAAATTCAGAAGGTCTCATTCACTTGCATTTTCTTTTTTTTTTTTTTTTTTAAGCTTTGATCCCCTTTGCTTACCCCTCCACTTAAGGATTGTGTGGCTAGGCAGTTTAGGGGGTATAGTCTTCGTGGAAAATCTCATGGCAGCCAGGTTTTGCCTGGTGAACATAATACAAAGAAGTGAGTCTTAGCAGTTCTTCTGGGTGTCTTAAAAACATACAGCAGAAATTTCAAGTTAAAGTTAGGCTCTCACAGCTCCCCACTTCTGCTGGAATAGCTGCTATTTAGAAGCAAGTGGAAGGCCTGGCTGGGTGAGTTAACAGGGCCTGACAGTCTGCAGCGCATTTGATGTATAATTCATCACAGTCACCTGAGGCTTTTAGGGGCTAGCAAAGAGAAATGTAGTTGAATGTAGACAACATGTAAAGGAACATTTGCTTGTCACAGCCTTTAAGTGTGGCCAGAAGACGATGGGACCCTGGGAGTAGGGGGCACTTGATACCCATAGGGTTACAGATGGGACAGCACAGAACTTCCCGTTATTCCCATCCCAGGGCTCTTGGGGAGGGACTCTAAATGCATAGCCCTGGATTTCTCTTGCATGCTGTTTGAAATTACTAGCAGCTACTGTTTTTACTTTTAAGATGATATAAAGGAAGAGTGGAGATTTTTCTAACATTTCATGGACTGTAAGGGAGCTGAGACCAGCATCGTGTCTTCTGTACCAAGGCTGGGGTGTGGTGCCTGGAACAGCGGGGGCCTGCACTGTCCCTGGAGCTCACATGGACAGTGCATGGATTCCAGTTTGCACACAGTGGAGCCTTCTGGGAGATGCAGGGTTCTGTGGGAGATGGAGGCATGGGAGGGCTGGGGGCTAATCCTGGAGCACCTGTTCCTGGCTTGAGTTTTGGGGGAGGCACACTTTAAAAACATGAGGAAATGAACAGGCCCAATGCTGTTGACCACTTTCTGGCTATGAAGGATTTTAAAGCACACTCTCCTTAACAGACTGATTTCCATTAGAAATTTTAGTTGGCCCATGAACATGCCTGAATGTGTCTGCTTTTAGAAATTAAGCAGGGTGGGATGGGAGAACAAATGGGGTTGGTTACTCTTCAGCAGGTTTGAGAAGGCCACTGTCACAGGCCTTGCTTCACTTTGGGGCTATGGTGCTAGTCCAGCTCTGCTGGGTTGGAGGTGAGGTCTGCACATATCTGTAACCAGTGGTTTCCAGACCCCAGTGGAAACCCAGGTGAATGGAAGCCAGGTTTCTCAATCAGTATTGATGAGCAGAGTCAAGTGGAAGGAAAGGCCCATTTTCTGTTTCCCGGAAGAGCTCCCATGAGTGAAAAATGGAGAATGCAGGCGTCTGTTGTTTTCTTTACAGGCAGATTATGCTGTGGTCTGTGGGAAGAAGCTCACACAAACCAGGATATTAGTCTGATTTGATCTCTGGACACCCAAAAAAGAGAATTTGTGTCACTGGCAAGCTACACAGGACAAATTCACAGAATGGTGGTTTCTTTTGGGATGTTTAACTTTAGATAGTGAAAGCCAGAAAGCTCTCGTTTAGGGGAACAAAGTGCTATTTGTGATGTGGTAGAAACCTTTAAAAATTTCCTAATTTGGGCCACCTAATCAAATTATTTAGTATCACAATCATTAGTTTTTTTAGAGGCATCTTGAGGACCTGTATTTCAATTGTTACTGGCATTAAACAATCTTTGGCAGAGAATGTTGTACACTGTTTCAAGCCATGAGGATGTGTAAGAGAGCAACTGTGTGCTGGTATTAAACACTGGTGATGTGGAATACAGGAAACCTGTTCATGTGCTTTGCCCGGAGTATGTCTTGCCCAAAGTCCTCAGGAATAACCTTGATTCTTACCTGACAGATACACCAAATAATTGTGGCTCATGGGGATAGAGAAAGGATGGTGATAGCTCCATCTTTGTGTTTGCTGGTATTGGGATTTGAACCCAGAACCTTCACACCGAGCTACACTCAAATCCCATTTTTAGTAGTTATTGTTAAGTTGAAGCTGGGATAAAACTTGTGATCCTCCCACTTCATTCTCCGACCAAGTGCTGGGATTATAGACGTGTCACCACACACCCAAATGCCTTTATTGTTCTTGGCAGTGTCCTTACACCATACAGCTCAGAATGGCATGGTGGGGCTTGGGATAGGGCAGTAATAATTGCAAGTTAGTGCATGAAAATGCACAAGTGTGATAGCGAGTCTGAAAAAACCTGAAGTATTTTCATTTGCAAATCATAAAGGTTTTGGGCTGAGAATTTAGCTCAGCGGCACAAGCACCTGCCTGGCAAGTGTGTGGTAGTGAGTTCAATCCCCAGTACCAAAATATGGTCTTCACGGATTTCTTTTAATTTGTATCACAGAGATAGAGGGCGTATTAATTTTACATGCCAGTTTTATAGTTAGTGTTGTGTTCACAAGGGAGAGTTCATTTGGTAATAAAACAAAAGCTGACAGTTGTACCATCCTCTAGAAATGAAACCCTTTCTTAAGGCAGCAAGGGCAAACTGCTTTTGTCCTGATTCCAAGACACTGCATCTATTTCTTGCTCATTAGAGTGACTGTAATGGAAGTTGATACTTCAGCAGAAATGTGTGTGGCATTCTTACTGGATTGGTAAACACCATCCATGATGGCACATGATGGCACCAGCACACTGGTGACAGGGCACTAGTGTATCCCAAGGCTCCTGAAAAGTCACTTGGAAATGATAGTTCAGCTGCAATTGACTGGGATGAGGTACCCAGCTGCCGCAGTGCATGGGACTGTGTGGCAGTCTCCAGGGCTTCTGACTTGGAAGCAAAGCCACACGACAAAGTGTGCCCTAGAAATGAGTGCTGGATGAGGAGCGCCAAGCCTTGGGTGGCTGTAAAAGTTTATTCATCGGTTCCCCAGTTACCAGGAGCTCAGAAAGATAGAAGGCACAGGGACAGTTACTTGTGGTTTGGTGGATAGTCTCCTTCTGGAAAGGAATGTGAAATGCTCATCACAGAACTAAAAAATACTAAGGGTTACCTGTGACTGTTGCCGTCACTTGGGATTAAGTAGTACCATACATATAAAACCTGTTGTTTTGGCTAAGTCACCAGAAAGCTGTGACACTTTCACAGAATTGGAATCATCTTGAGCTCAAACGTTGTAGGGTAAGGTGGACGGATTGTAGTTGACAGAATTCACTAAAAGGCACCTTAGAAAGGTATGTGGATCTCTTTTGACCCTCAATAACCACCTAGTTTAGGGTGCATCTGTAGACCTTATCCTGGCCCTCTTGTTACCCGTTTCCTATTTTAATCTCTTGGGGCTCAATAGCCAGTGCTAAACTCTGCCAAAACCTAAAAGGAAGGAAATCTCTAGTCTTCAGTCTGCTGTGCAGGACGCACACAGCTGGGTTTACAAAAAGGAATTTGCCAAGCAATGGTATGATAGCTGGAATAAACACTTTATTTTTTTAAAAATGACAATAGAAAAGTACCTTTAACAGTTTATAAAAGCATAATAGACCACGAAGTGGCTCTGTTTCCTTGGAAGCAAGTACAGGAGTCTCCGAGAGCCAGCCAGTACTGAGAACATAAGTAGCTTCTTAAACAAGAAGTTCCTAAGCTCATGCTGCCCCACTTTCCTTGTGTTTATGGGAAGAGTTCCTCACTCCTGGCCTTTTTAAAAAACACCTTTAAAAACTTATTATTTCTAATGAAAAACAATAAAACCCCAGCCCCACCACATAACCATTAAAACGTTTTTCAACATGTGAACATATCAGTAAGAAAGACTGTGATCACATCTAGCTATATCAAGCCATTAAAAATTCTTAGGTCAGTTTTACACATGGCTCTGACATACGGGGAGGGAGAGAGGTGGGGCTATCAGACTCCGGAAATGTGTCAACTCAACAAGACTGACTTTGGCTTTGAAGAAGTCTTGAAGCAAGAACAATATTCATTGCACATGGCCTCTGGTTCTATCATCGGCTCCTCCTGTACCTGTGCCCAAGGCAGTCTCACAGTGAGCATGCAGATTCAAGAACATGTGACATCCGTTGGCACGGGTATTATCAAAACTTTGGAATATTAAGCTCAGGTTTGCAAAATCACTTTTGGTATGTGCACTGCACGGTGCAGCCAAGTGGGCTGGGTGAAGCCGAGTCCTTTTACAGAAAGGCCAACTCTAAGCCAAGGTGCTTTCACCCTTGGGCTGACCCTGTGGTTCCCCTTGTGGGGGTGAGGCATCAGACATGACACCGGTGCACGCTGTCAGATAATGTAAGACTGCAGAACCCAATGCTTGGCACATGGTTTACATAGTCCCAGCTGGAGGTACCAGGGCTTTCGAATGTCACTTTTTGGTCAGGAACTGCGATCAAAGAGATTTTTGCCCATTTGTGAGTATGCCATTAGGCAGAAGGTCCTGGAGGCCCGGATTGTCTCGCAGGGGTTTCCTGTGGGAACAGGGATTGCACACCTAGGACTATAGAACATTCTAAACTACCACATCATGAGTGCTCGACTCTGACCAGGCAAGCAGATTCAGTACATTGACAATACCATTCTAAAAGCTGATGCTACGTAAGAAACATGCCTCAAACATGCAGCTGATTTTAGACAGAAAAAAAATAGGTATTTTTAATTACAAGCATTCAAAAGTCAAGCACAAATGTGGTCCAACCCAGTGTTAAGAATCATCCTGTCATACTTAAAATGTTTGGTATAAAAATACTCACTTTCTTGGTTTTATCGTTGATTTCTATGTTTGCTTAAAAATACCTCTAAATGTATAGAAATGAATGTCAGATCATGCATTCACAAATAACACACTATTTCTTAACAATTATACAGTGTAAAAGAGTAAAACATTTTTATTATATTTTTTTCTTTGAGAAAAACAGATGTGTGATAGAGGCTGTGGCAAAGTCTTGAAGGGATCAGAGCTGGGCAAGGTTTTTTCCAATCCTGAAACAGAAAGAACATGTTGGGAGAACAGATTGCAGAACCATGAGGAGCCCGCTGGAAGCTGCACCTGTGGTTCATTGTGGGAACAGGAGCCACTCACCAGCCCCCAGTGCGGCCTCCAGGCCTGAGAGCTCCAGGGCCCCCCACCTTTCGGAGATACACGGGCAGCATGTGTGTAACTCCTAGTTACCATCTTACGTGACAAAGTTCTCCTTAAGTTGCAAGGAAATGGTCATGAATATTTGATCTGTAGCAGGAAAAGGGGCCTTCAGTTGTTAAAGTCCTTTGACTCCCATTTATTTGGGCTTGGTCCCAATTTTTTTTTTCCCTTTTTCCTTTTTGCAGTGTAGAGTTGAACCCAGGACCTTGTGCGTGCGGGCCAGCACTCTGCCACTGAGGCACATTCCCACCGGATTCTGGACTTTTACATGCATCTGTTGAGTTTGCGTTTACCAAGTTCATGTTGTGAATACATATAAAGCCTCCTCTGCTGTTCTCTCGTTCACTTTACATTCCCCTTCTAACGCCACCTCCTTTGTTAGTGCCATGTCAGATTCACATTTGTGGTTTTAAAAAAGGCACCCAGATGCAAACAGGCACACGCTACTGTTTCCCTCCGGGAAATGATTGCTAGTGTGTGAGAAAAGGCCATGCTGACACATTATTGGTAAGTCACGTTAGTGGTTCTAAGACTTCTTTGGGCAAGTTTGTCTTTATAGTGATTTGAAGTGAAGAGAAGCATTTGGGTGAACACTCAGACAGGGCTGATGGACAGTCTTGTAAAGCTGCCTGTGCAGATTTCGTCTGTGCCGTGCTGGCTGCCTTGAGACCTCAAGTTTTATCTAACAGTTTTTCACATCCTAGGTTTTACTGCATTAGGCTTAGCACCCAACTCAGTTGCTTCCTATAAAGAAAGGTCACACTAGAGATGCCCCCCGGCTCTTCCCCAGTGACCCAGCCCTACTTCGATTTTCTCCTTTGCTGTCTCAGCAGAGCTGTGAGGCAGAAGGTTCTAAAAGGAGAGAATGGTGAACAAGGGCAGAAACTCCTTCAAGAAAATCTCCTTTTCAGGTTCCTTTACCCCTCCCCCCACTGCCCAACACAGACAGTGTGATGAATCAGCAGGCAGCATCTTCACAGCCTAATTCCAGTGCAAGTACACATCCTGTGAGAGTAAAGGGCCAGAGCAGGCCCCCTTTTCAAAGGACGCATGTTTTCTGCTACCCCTGCTGCCCACCTGGCAGCAGGTGCGTACCACAGTGTGCATCGTATGGAGCAGACCTGGAGTTACAGGGCTGAGACGGCACGGCTGTAGCTCCACAGGTCCCTTGGCCCACCTCACTTCGTCCTGCCCTGCATCTGCTCGAGGGCACTGGTTACTGGGTCTCAGCTTCTGGGAGGCACCAGTCCTCCATCCACACCCTGTGGGAGAGCGCGCCCCAGCGGAGTGAACCTGGCTTGAGAGAATGGCTAAGAGGCCAGCTTCCTCCTCTAGCAGCTTCCACCTCATTCTAACCTAGACCACATGCCAGCAGCCCAAGCCAGAGAAAAGCCTTTGGGAATGAGTCACAGACTGGCACTTGGCAGTCCCTGGTTTGGATGTGGGGACACAGCATCAGGACAACAGGCTACAAGCAGAGCAGCCATGCTGCTTTTAGGGATCCTGAGAGTGAAAAGCCTGGCCATGGCAGTGCTCCCGCCCGCTGGCTGGGCCCTTTCAGGTGGGAGCCTTCTCACTGTCTCCTCCAGCCCCTGGCTGTGTCTGCCAGATACCTGCTTTATACTCCGGAGAGCCTGACAGTCTTGGGGCAAGTGCATGTGGCTAGCCCTGCCCTGGTTCTGAATCCACAGCTAAGTTAGACATCACACTGCTCTCCAGTTCCTGCTGGACGTTTCTGCTGAAATCTGCACTTATTACCTATTGCCTCCTGGCCCTGAGTCTCCCATGGCACCCAGGCCTGGTGCTATGCCCTTCTGATGCCACCATCACCTTGGGTTTGCCCTTCTACTCCAAGTCTTTTGATCATTTTACACTGGACACCAGGTGGTTTTCACCTGTCCTACCAGGCCCTCTAGGGCTCCATCACAGGCTACTTTGCTTTGTGTAATCTGCTGTCCCAGCACATAAGAAATTTACCTTTAAAACTCTGCTTTGTGATCCCTGCTGGGGCCCCTCCTTAAGACTCTTTGTTTTCCTAGACAGCTTTGTAAGACTGCCTCCTCCTTCCTCTGTCCCAGACACTAGGGTTCCCGGCAGGAGGGAGATAGGCCATCCATGGGGTATGACACTGTGGCTGGGCCTTTTCCTGATTTTGGTTCAGGCTGGAGTCAGGAGTCCTTCCAGGTGGACGCTGTCCTGTGTTCCCACAGCACCCCAAGTGCCTGTCCTGGGCAGCTGTGGCCCCAGTGGGGTCTGCTGCTGCCACAAGCTGCTCACTGTGGGCCTGGGTACCCGCCCCCTCCAGGATGCCCTGTTTCTTTCTGCCTTGCCAGATGACAAGTTAGTCCCAGCTGAGGAGAAGTGGGGCTCTGAGGGCTGGAGAGAGGATCGGACACGTGAAGATCGGGCCTAGCTCTCCAGGACCGTGCCTGTAGATGCTATTCTCACATGGGAAAAGAATGTGTTCACACTGCCGTCAGTGTTCCCAGACAGAACAGAAGGTCACAGTGTGGCTATTTCAGTCCTTGTAAACAAGGAAGAGATTTAGCTAGGAACGGAGTTCAGACCCTAGAATGTATTACAGGGACACTCTCCACAGAATCTGAAGACCGGGAACACAAAGTGCCAGGGGTGGGGTAGCAGACTTTCACAGCCCTCCCCCAGGTTGCAGGTTGCAGTGGGACATAAGGATTCATCTCAGGGTGCAACTGTGCCAGTTGGGAGACAGCAGGCTGGCTCTACCCACTTAGTACTGTAGGTTCTCGTCGCACTCTGTGTAGGGGTGTGGGAACAGGACACCTGTGACATGGGACAGGCTCGAAGCTTAGGGGCTTCCCGCCCTGCTCAGTGCTGGTGGTTTAGGATACCCTCTCCTGCTGCTCTCTACCTGCCTCCCTGCTTGATCTGTTTGCCAGTGGTTTCTCCCCGAATTTAACACAAATCTGTACTCATTTTTACTGAAGGTCAGAGAAGCATTTCCCTCTATCCAATATGGGACACCATTATGACAGATGTTTGTATCTAATGAGATTAGTTTTTACACCTATCGGCCAAAAATTTTTTTTATTGTTTTTGGTATGGGGATCAAACTCGAGGCCTCATACCTGCCAGGCAGGTGCTGTGTACTGAGCTCTATCTTCAGCCCTTGATTTTTTTTTTTTTTTTTTTTTTTTAAATCAAGTACTGACGATTTGTAATTTACACTGTAAGGATGTTCAAAAGGTATCTAGGGTAAGTTTTCTACAGCTGGTAATTCCACCCTACTCCAGAGAGCTCAAGCTCTAGCCACCCTCCCTGGCCTCCAGTGACCAGCAGCCCTGGCTGTTCATCCCTTAGCTGCAAAAGTCAGCTGGGGACGGTCAGCCACGTTACCTACGGCCTGCAGGGACAGTGCTGTCTGGCAAACAGCGCCTGCAGATACTCCATCACTAAAGCTGCCAGGGACATGGCTGAAACACCCTCTGTACTAGCCAGCACCTGTAGAGTCACCCTAAACCCCAACCCACCTCTTTTTCACCTGTCACTAGGCCTCTCTGCTGTCTGTCCGGAAGTCCCAGTCCCACCAGCGGCTGCTCTGACTGGGCGGAGGCTGTTAATTGGTCTTTGAATTTCCCCAGAAGAGAGGAAAAAACCAAGTCTCTTTTAAAGTTTCACGCCATGTAATCCCAGCATGACTACTATAAGCATTACTGTTAAGAACCATGACAAAAGCAAAACCTACTTAGAAGGCTGTGGACCTAGTGAGATACACAGCAAACAGTGCGCACCATGGAAAGGTGGCTGCCTGTGCACAGGGACTCCGGAGAGATGCTAGGATGACTGCTGTGTGCTTCCATCCACAAAGCTGCCCTGGGGAGTGAGGTGCACACTGGACACTGCATCTGGACCAGTGCCAGCAGACCCTGCTCTGAGCATGAATTACTTAAGCCCCAAAACATGGCAACGGCTTCCCTGGCCAGCACTGTCTAGTCTTGTGTCCTTGGCAGGAATTTTGCCCTCTTTCTGACTCATCTTTTAGTTTTTTTATAGGCCCTTCATGGGGACAAAAATTGCCACCTTATTTGGGCTGAGATATGAACTGCTGCCTGCTGGCCCCTGGCATTTCTGCTTTCCTAAGCTGAGCTTTCCAGGGTAACCTGGAAGCCCCAGCCGGGATGCCCGGCAGACAGATCACATATGGGAAGGTACACTGTAAGTTAAGACTCCACACATGAATGACAGCGGATATCAACTGAAAAGTCACTTGAATCACTCCTGACTGACAAGCCCAGCAGTGTAGAGGAATTCTTCGAGAGTCCTATAGAACCCAGTCATATCAGAGTAAGATATTTCAGAAAACACTCATGAAAATGTGCAAGTCGAAAGGGCTGTCTTGGGGCCAGGGATTTAGCTCAGTGGCATAAACACCTGGCTGGTGAGCAAGAGGCTGTTAAGTTTGATCACTGTTACCAAATAAAGGGGGCCGTCCTCAGTATAACCTAAGTGACTGGGGTGGGGGACACAATAGATTTCCAACAGTGCTGGATTTCTAAAAAAAAAAAGCTCTGCAAACAAAAGGGAAAAGTTTCATTTTTCTCCAAAAGTCCCTTAGGGCATGCTACTGGCTGCCACCCAGACTCAGAAATGCTGCCTCACCAAATCTAGCCACCCTGGACGGCCTCCCTCCACGGGCTGATGGAGGGGACACAGGGACCTCCCCCAAGCACTTGTACAGGTGAGTGTCGTCCTGTGGGTACCTCCGTGGCCTCTGCCAGGGCTCCAGGGGACCCATCTTTACCACGCTGGTTGACACCTGCCTTTGGAACTCACCAGCACGCTCCAGTTCTGCAGAACAGCTGGAGAACAGTGGCCACCAGTGAAGAGCGCATTAATACCCACAAGACAGATTGCAGCCGCCATCACACACCTGGGACCTGGACAGACAGACAGTACCATTAGGGAGTGCCCAGCCCTCCCGTGGGTCCTGCGCTTGACCTCCAGCAGATCTACAGGGCAGGGAGCCTGAGCTTGTAGCAGAAAGAGGGCTGTGGGACTCGGTGGAGCAGAGGGGATGGTCAGGCCAAAGTGGAAGGGCATTCTGAAAAGTGTCTTGCACGACACGGATGGGCCCATGGAAACCATGAACTGTGGTTGCATCATCAGACCCCAGGGACTGTGCCATGACCCAGGTGTCACCTTAAAGCCCCCAGGCAAAAGGGCAGGGCTGGAGGACCCAATATAAAAGACTCAGAATCATAAGCAGTTCTAGAAGCTGCCTCAGACCACATCAGCTGTGGGCAGCCCAAGGCCACAGTGGAATCGTGTGGTGCCACATGCACCAATCGCTAAGTTTTACTCCAAACGCCTTTTGGAAAATAAAAGTAAAAACACATCTGTGAACAGACTCTATGACTCCCTCGGGCAGGGATGGTGAACCCTTTGGAGGCCAAGCAGTGCCAACACTGCAGTGAAACCTGCATACTGAATTTTAGTTTGAAGAAAACAACTTGTACGTTGGGTCATGCACCCCTGCGCATGTGTGCCACAGGGTCACCACCACTGCCCTAGGGCCTAAGAGCTGTGAACTACACAGGTGCCAGGCTGCAGGGGTCACTTTCAGTGCTCTTGAAGGCCCTGCTGCTTTCTGCAGAATTCCTGGCACCAAGGAAAGACACCCAGTTATACGCATGCAGACAGCAATGGCCCTGTCCTCTAGCACATTCCTCAAGATGTCACCCAGGTTGGTACTATTTGTCCTGTAGGGCTTCCTCTGAGTCCCCAGATGCATCACTGCTCAGCTGGGCCAGAGAGGAACTCTGGCCCTGAGCTGAAACCTGCCACCTCTGGAATTAGGGGTGAGCCTTAGGAGCCTGCCTTCCTAGGACAAATATCTTCTCAGAATTTAGGGGGAAAAGTTCCTCAGAATTTCACTACAACATTTAAAGATGAGGAGATGATTCTGCTTTCCAAGTAAAAGCGGTTTTTGTTTTGTTTTGTTTAGACAGGGTATCGCTATGTCATCCAGGCTGGCCTCTAACTCAGTAAGTCTTTTGCTAGCCTTCCTGGGACGACAGGTATGTGCCACCACATACACCAAAAGTTGTGTAATTTAAGGACAGGGAATAAACTTGCCATCAGCACGTGGGGAAGTGGGCACAGGCCCTGCCGAGGCTGTCCAGGGCTGTTAAGCAAGACAACCACCGGACTCTCACTCTGCCTGCTTGGACACTTGGGGTTTGTCATTAAGCCTTGTTCCATGACTAAGTGGGTGTGGCTCCCCGGCCAGGAGCTGGTGCGAGCTGCAGCCATCCCCAGCCCCCAGTGAGAGGACTTGGGAGCACACCACCATGGGCATCTGTGAGATGGGCAGAGGCTCCTGAGCATGGCCCTGACCTGAGCCACGGGAGGACGCAAGACTTGACAACCTGCTCTCACATGTGGCCACCTCTCACCTTATAGCAGGAACAAACAGCCAGGCTCAGAGGCAGCAGGCAGGGTCGCAGCACCTGGGTGCACAGCTGGTACCCGGCAGGCAGGCAGGCCCTTACTTGCAGTACACCCTGGGCTGCAGCAGCCACAGGGGCAGGACACCACCACCACCAGAGTGCCACCCCCAGGGCTGCTCGCACTTGGCAAGGATGAGGGAAGTGCCACTCTCCAGACACGGGCTGGCATGCTCTGGAAGAGCAGCCCCTTACTCTGCAGTGAGCAGGACTCTGCTTCTCAGCTGACCGGCTCTTAAGTCACATTTAGTCTTTTGTGCATCCCTTTCTCCCAGACTGACCCCACCACAAATATTAAATCTGTTAATATTATTACCTACCTCTTCTCCATTATACTGCAGCTGTTCATGCAACAGTTACTGGGTTATGTCAAGTGTGACATGGAGACCTTAGTTAACAAAAGGGAATGCAAGCCAGCCACAAAGGCTGCCCTGGCTTCTGGGCACACTACAGGGGTTGTGTAAGAGCACAATCCCTGAGAGAGTGCAGAGGTGATGGGAGGAGCCACAGCAGCTATCTGGGCCTGCAGGAAGAACCAGTGCCCTCCCTCCTTGCAAAGCATCACCACAAGCAGTCCCTGGAGCAGCCCAATTCTGTGCTTAAAGCTTTTGTGCTCACAGGGGAAGGAGCTAGGCAGTTCCTCCCAAAACAAATTCCAGTTCCCGTCATGTTATCTTGGGCCATTTCCTCCTCCAATTTGGTGAGGCTGTACAAGGACATGTACTCGTGATTCCTATGCTGTAGTCTTGGTTGGGGACAACATTCATATGTTATGAATACCCTCTCACATCACACTAACCTTCCTTTTAAAAAGCATGGAACTGTACACGGCTATCTAACAAAGAAAGCTGCGTGACTCCTATAACCCAAAAGGAGTGACAAAAAGGATGCCTGAGCTGCTGGGTTCTCATCAGCTTGGGTGACCGACAGCTACCGTGTACTCTGGGAACCTCTGGCACCAGCTGGGTGGTCAGCAAAGCCCTAGTGAACACACACGTGGACAGGGCACATGGCCACACAAACTCAGCCCTGGGAACCTGCATGGTGCGCTCTTCTGGGGCTCTGCCTTATGTACTGGGTGGGGGGCCCTGGAGCCCCTGACCCCTGAGGCGTGGCTTTGTGTCTCTTATGAGTCCCAATTCTGCTCCTTGAGAGTTGGCGCCCTCAGGGTGTGCTGGCCTAGGTTTTTTCATCCTTACATCTGTGCACAGGTGCAGCACCCGTTTATTTTAAGAATAAAGAACAGCTTTGGTATACATTTCTAGTCTAGTCACTGATGATTTCTCTTCAGCACTAACAAGTCAAAGTGGATAAACGAAAAATCCCATAGGGGCCGTGCACCTCACCACACAGCCCTTGGGAATGGAAGCTCAGCCACCCCAGCCTTGAGCTCTCCCAGGGGGCGCCCTGAGGGAGACAGAGGGGCCGGTGGAGCACTCCTTTCACTGGGCCTTCTCCATAGACTCACCTTGGCCTAAAATGTTCGGCTCTTCAGCCCCACACAGTTCCAGTTCTAATTGTATTTCCCTACAGCTCGGATTATTAGACATCTGGGAAACGGCTTGACCCAAGAGAGGAGGAGGAGGAAGAGGACACATATCATGCTGCTCCCCCTTGGGTTCCAGAAGCAGTGGGCACCACTGTGGATGCCCCTTCCTGACCACTTCCCCTCTTCTGCGCTCTCTGGACTCGGGGAAGGAGGCTGGTCCAGGGCCCATGTTCAGCTCAGAACAAATGCCTGCTGTCCAGGAGATCTCATGGGGTTCTAAGCTCTGAGTCTATAGGGGAGCAACTGCTAACCCTGCGTTGGCAGGCACCAGTCCTCAGCTCTCTGGCTGACGGCTGCCCGGATAGGTGCGTGGAGAATGATTTGGGAAAAACTAGGTAAACAGGGCCCATGCACCTGCCACCTTTCAGCCTGTGAAATGCTTATAGGCGTGGCCCTTCACAGGCCCCAGGCCGCCACCCTTTGCCAACTTCTCCACCTAAGACTGCCACACAGAAGGCATCCTCTGGTGATTTAATGTCCCTAAAACACCTGCCACCACTGAAAGAAGCTGCTCAGCTCTCTCCTGCACCTCTGGTCTTACTTACTTTGATCCAGATGGGCAAGGATGCTTCCTTTGAGAACAAAGGCACCCCAGGTGCACAGGGGAGTCAATCTGGAAGGGGTAACTTCAATGACCAATTGAGACTTCAAGTCTCAAAGGCCACTAGCTGGTGGGAAATAAACCCACATCTCTAAAAGCCTGTACAACTCAGCAACTTAGCGAGATGCTATCTCAAAATTGAAAAGGACTAGAGATTTTTCTTAGTGCAAAGGCCCTGGGTTCAGTCCTCATTACCAAAAAGGAAAAAAAAAAATCATCTTAGTCAGTGTCCCCTTCCTTTTTGCTAAGAGGGCACTAGACTGCATGAGGCCGGCCCCAGCACCCCCATTTCAGGCACCTTTCCCCAAAAGCACACACAAATGCAGCTTCATGCTCATCTCCAAAAACTCCCTGGCCTCGTGAGGTCTAACCAGGGCCTCAGCATTGAAAGGGGTAAGAAATAAGTATTAGTTTTATTTGGAACTACTATGCCATCTTCTTCAGCACTTCTGTGTAACAGGGGACACAGGTGTGGTCCCTTCCTCCAGCACTTTTCTCCTTGTTCTGGGAGGGCTGGTGACAGTGACGATTGCACTGGGGCTGCTTCACTTTAGGTAGACTGCCTAATTTCACACACTGGATTATGATGCACTACAACGGCGCTGGTCAGCATACCAAATTCCAGGAGGTGCCTGGATTTTTGCAGTACTTGTACATTTATAGAAAAAAATAAAGCAAAGTTAGGCCTCAAGTGGCACAAATGTCAATTTAGTAATTGTTTACCTCAAGATAAAAAATCTTAAGGAAAGCCTACTGTAGGCAACACAATACTTTCCATACAAAAGCTTCTAGCGAATGACTTGCTCCTGTAACTAGAAAGTGGTTTCTGCTCAATGCTGGAGCAGGAGGCACAATTATGTCATAGAATTTAAGACACTGTGTGCATGTGTGAAGCAGGAATCAAGCTCCTAAGTTAGACTCAGCATAGCACCTGCACCTCTACCCGCCCTAGAAGAAACTTCCTAAAAGACGTGCAGTCACCTAAGAGTTCTCAGAGACAGGGCGGACAGGAAAAGGGAGCACGTAAGGGTGTTAAGAGTCCACACACAGGGGTGGGTGAACGCTGGGTGCTCTGCAGTTCCTCAGGGACCCAGGTACTTACACAGCATTCAGCAGAACTGACGGGACTTCCAGCCCTGAGAAGTAGCCTCGGAGGGAGGGAGCCAACGCATCTGAAAAGACATGGGAGAGGCTGTGAGCCACCACACGCTCTGCTTCACAGAGTTCGAGCTCAGGGTGTCACTGCTCCCTGAATGGGCCCCATCACACCAGCCTGTGAAGGGCACAGTGCCAGGGTGGCATCCACAGGAGCTGTTACATGTCCCTGTAGACCAGCATCCAGCCCTTTTCAGTTCACAGCCATCTGAAGGCACAGTCTGCCCAGTGGATTGCACTCTTCATACTCACTTGGAAATGCACAGGTGGGGAAAGGGCTGTCTCAAAGTTTTCTAGGCAAGACGTGGAAATATTTACTTCTGCTTTGATAGGAAACCAGCAGTTTAGGATCCCAATGGCCTGGCCAAAACCTCCTACTTCTTTAGGAAAAGGTCCTGGCTTCCTGGTGTCCAGTAACACCTGCTACCTGAGGTTCCCTGCTCCTTGTGCTGGGAAGTGTGGCCTGTAGCCATGGGCAAAAAGTCTTTATGGGGAGGTGAAGCCCCACTTCTTCCACTGGATTTCTGAAAAGGGAGGCCAACCCCAACACAAAGGGACTGAATGATACTTTGTCCATTGGGCAGAATGTTCTGGGTCCTATGCCATGAGAAATGTGAAATACAAAAGGGGAAGAACATGTTGTTTTTGAAAAACATCTACCTATTAACAATTTTCCCCAAAAGGCCTTGGATACAGGTAAGAGGTGCTTGTTGCATGCTGTTCCTTCTACACAGAGGGACTGCTTCCCCAGGACTATGACACACAGCACAGGAAGCACTGCTCGGAGCACAGAAGAGGGTATTTTCAATGGAGAGGGCTGAGGACCCTTTGCGGGGGGTTGGTGCTCCTCTCCTAGTAGGGCAAGTAAAAGCCAAACTCAAACTTCCAAAACATCGAGGTAGAGCAGGAGTCATTATGGCTAAAATAGGACACAATGGGATCAAAGGGCCAAGGGACAACTCTGTTGACCCCAGGGGCTCTGCGGGATGATGAAAACCTGTCCTGTTTTACAGTTGGGAGAGTCAGTTGGGGTCCAGGTATTCTGAACGATCATGGTCACAGAGCACTGTGGCATCAGGCCTGGGATAAAACCTAACCTGACTCAAAGCCAGGATGCCTAGAAACTGGGCCTGCAAGAAAAGCCAGAGTATCCTTGGTCACTGGAATGTCCTCCTCCAATCCCAGGCCTTCTCAGAGGGGCTATACTGCCTAGGCCACCTTGGAGTAGAAGTGTCTGGCCTGGCTTGGGACATGTGGATTAGAAGGACCCAGGGTGCACCTTGTGTTTTCTCTTCCAACCAGAAATCCACTACAGAGTCCTCAGGCCACCTCAGAGCAGGTCTTCTCTGGGAACTCTGTGATATGTACCAGAAACCAGACAGCAGGAGGACAGAGCTCCTCAGAAAGGCAGCCCAGTACTCTTCACACCCCTAAATTAAGGGGCTGAAGGATCTGAAACTCCCTGGCAGGGAGACTAAAAACCCATTACTTGGAAATTTGGAAGTATGTGAAGGACAAAGGAAGAGACCGGTGGGGTGGGGTGGGGGGGCGGGGGGGAAGGGGAAGCAAGAGGAGAGGGACAGGCAGAACAGGCTTGAAGAAGAGACAAGAAAAAACTCGTACCTACCCATGGCTTATGGTTTTGTGCATCTGAATCCACTTGCTCACTAAGCAAAGAGCAGAGTTGGAGCTGCCTTCCTGAGACAGGTGGGAGAGGAACGTCTGGGGTACAGGGCCCCAGGAGGGGTGAGGGGCTGGAGACCCACATGGTAGAGGGACTGGAGCCGTGTGCATGGGCTGGGTCAGTGTGAAGTGCGGTGAGGGGGCTGTGGCCTGGGCAGGGGCCCATGGGGAGAGCCGCGGGGAAGTGGCAGGGGTCGGGACAGTGAAGGTGGCTGCGAGATGGGGGCCCTCACCTCCCCCACACCATCTCTCTGGCGGGGGCCTCCCCACCTTCACCCAGCCCTGGCATTCTCTCAGCTGCACACATGCCCGTCCTAGGGGTATTCTGGGTGACAAGGTGGCCCATCCAGGTGGTGGGGTCCAGGTTACATTGTGCTCAGCTGAGCTCAGGTGGAGGATGCCAGTGAGGAAGCAGGCCAGTGACTCACAGTGGTGGGCAGAGTGGCGGTAGGACAGAGACAGACCCCAACACTCATTATTCTTACACCCCCAGAATCAGACCCCAGGGCACCAGCCAGAGCACAAGCTCTTCCTGAAGCCCTGCAGACACTAGAAGGGAGGACATTCCAGCAGGAGGTCCCGTGTGCCTGTCTTCCAGCAGAGGGCAAAAGCTGCCAGGCTGAGACCCCATCTGCTTCAGTCTGCACGGGAGGCTGGTGCATGGCTCAGGGGCAGGGCCCCAGTGGGCACTGGCTGTTTTGCGCTGACAGGTGGGGGGGGGGTGGCATGAGGGGAGGAGTCACCCTTACTCCCACTCAGGCTGCTTGACTGCTGTGGTTTGGAGCTGCTTCACTTGCTCCATCCAGAAAACTGCAGCCTGCCCTGCTCCAGGGACAGTTCAGCAGGGCTCACACTTACCCCTCCAGCCTGGGCAGGCCTTGCAACAGTGCACACTCACAAACCCACACACAATCCCGGGCTTAGGATGTCCCTGCTGCACCAGCCTCACAGTGACACTTCTCCACCAAGCGCCCTACTTGCTCGGGAAAGCTCTTCTACAAGGCAGCGCCACTGCAACAACAACCCTGTGAGCTCCTCAGCAGGGCAGCAGGTTGCACAGGTGTGGAAGACACTCAGAGAAGAAAGTCTCAGCAACAAGTGACCAAGATAAAATACAATGGAGCACCAGAGGAAGTAGTCACAAAAATCACTTGCATCCTCCTTCATTTATAGATGAGGACGCTAAGGGCAACAGTATTCAAAGACAGAACTCACAGTCCCGACAAGGAAGCCTAACACAGGAAAACTCAGTGGCCTTGCAGACATCTCTGCCCTTGGCAGGTGTCTCCCACAGCAGAGTGTGCGTAGCACAGGGTAAAAGACAAGAGCAGGTGAACGTTCTGGACCTGGCCAGGATAATACTGGCTTGCCGAATGGGACAAGAGAACTGTGTACCAGGTGCTGGGCAATTAATGGTCACTGCTGTTAGTAACCATCCCTTATTTGGCCAGTTTCTTCTCAGCTGAAATGAAGAGTAAGTCCACACCAGTGGTTTTCAAAGAGCGTTCCCTGGACCATTACCATCACTGGAATGTATTATGGGCAGAGACACCAGTGGTGGGGCCCTATAACTTGCTTATTTCATGTGGTTCTGAGGACCGAACACAGGGCCTTTGCAATGACCTACATACCCAGTCCTTTACAAAGGTATTTTGAAAAAGGATATTGCAAAATTTCTCAAGCTAGCCTCAAACTTGTGGTTTTCCTGTCTCAGCTTCTCAAAAGTTCAGGGATTCCAAAGGAGTACAACCACACCTGGCTATAGCTTCCATTTTACAAAGCCCTTGAGGCGACTGCAAGGCAGCACACTGCTCTTCAGTAGGTTTCTAGAAATATGGCTGGAAGGCCAGTCTAAGTAAGCTCTACAGCCCAGTAAGTTACAGTCTACAACTCATATAAAGCAGCACATGAAACGTCCTTGTGAAGTTCCCCAAAACAAAAAAACCACAATGAAACAAATACCACCCCCCCAAAAAAAAAACAACAAGAAAAAAGAAACCTGTATGATTTCATCTGTCCCTACATTTCCCTAGTATACCTGACCACAGAGCCATTTGATTCTGGGATGGCTATTATTCCATGGCAGGGGCCTGGAACACTGTTGGTCTGGAAGGCCTATGCTGGTGTCAGTTTTCGGTGGATCTAGGTAGTATCCATGTTTCTAGCTCCTAATGAAACTCATTTGTACCAGATCACCAAACCGGCCAGTCTACTGGACATCCCACTCACTGTAGGGCAGCCGGAAGTCCTCATACTTTTCCTAATACAGGTACAGAGCTCCTTCAGCACCATATTCAGAACAAAGTTGAAACAGTACCTTGATCAAGTGTAATGGTTGATACATTATGTCAACTTGAGAAGTCAGGAAGCTTAACCAAGTAAATCAGCAGCTCTGCATCCTGGAGGACATACCCTGTGAGCTCTGGGATATTGTTCACTGTGTCAACTTGAGAAAGTGACTCAGGAGGGAGCCAGGGTCCTCACATTGTAAGCATCCTGAGCCTGTGTACGAGAGAGGCACAGAGATGGTGTCCATGCTCCCCAGGTGGTCTGCTTACAACATAAGAAAGAACAGATCGCTCTGCCCCTTTGTGGTCTTGTTGCTTTTGCAGTCTTCTGCCACCTTGAAATGCCCCTCCCTATGCCATTCTGGAGCCAGCTGATTATGTACTGAAACCTCCACAAGCTGAGAGTTAAATAAACCTTTCCTTTCTTAATTTTGGGTGTCAGGTATTTTGTCAATGAAACTAGAGAAGAGTAATTAGGACAGCAAGTATTTTACATGATTAATTGGCTTTTAAGTCCTGGATAATTGGCTTTTAAGTCCTGGATAATCATGGGTAGGTTTGTATTACTGCCCCCCAAATGGAGCCCTCAATTGTTCTGTGGAGGCTTCCCAGCATTGAGTCCCTAGCTACAAGCTGCTCACATGCAGCTGAAATCAAAACCAATTTTGCCTTACAACCTACTGGGCAGGATCATTAAGGAATCTCCAGGAGGACCTTTGGCAGGTTGGTTGTTAGGCTGCCAGGCTGAGAACAGGATGCAGGCCAGAAGTGCAGTTTGCTCTTTAAAAAAACTCTACACTCGCCAACACACTGGAGTGACGACTTGCAATATGAAGATTCTTCTCTTTACAGCACAAAATATGCTGTTTTAAGCTGCAACTCTCATTTCTAATAATGCACTCCACATGCTGGGAGAACTTTTCAAACCTCTATGCTACATGAAACGGAGCTCACTGACGGTTCCTTTTTAAAGGGTACCCCACTGCCCTCTGGCGCCTCGGGCTGGCTACCATACTCTTTCAGCATCCACAGGGAGCATGATACAGTGAGCAGCCTTACTACTTGTCTGGCGTCTGCTACTTGTCCAGGGCTGCCCGCTCAGCAAAAGGTACTAAGCCTCCCATTTTGGCACCCTGGCAGAAGGCCAGGCTCCACTGTGAGGCAAAGCACTTCACTGAGGTCTGAGCTCCAGCAAGGACGAGGCCTGGATGAACAGCAAGGCCCCAGGACAGTGAACACCTCTAGCAAACACCAATCAAAGCTGGCTTTAATTAAACACAAGTCCTCAGGAATAGTTCTTCTCTCCTGGGCTTTTAAGACTTTTTTCCTGTCTATCCTAAGCACCAGTGAGGCTCTTGCTTCCAAACAGGCATGTGAAATGTGGTCAGACATCTCCAAGTTCATTCAAGACGCTACTCTGGTTGCGGGCACCCAAGCGTGTAACACCCTGTGTCAGATTAAGTCCACAGTGGTTGCTTGTCATCCATATTTAATTCTGTAGGCCTGTTAATTTTTAACTATGTTTGCTATCAAGGGCCATTAGAGGTCCCCAGGAGCCGTGCTCAATGAAGCAAGTAGAGCTTTGTGGCAGAACACATGAGGCTTGAAGTTGGGGCGTCCCACTTTCCATCCTTTCATGGGGTTCTGGCCTTCCCCACTGGCAGAACGAATCCTGAATAAAACATGATCCCATTTGGAGTTGATTTTCCTTTTCTCCCCTGTCACAACTGGTTTTCTTCAAGGAAAAGTTTACTTTCTCCTTTTATGAAGGTTATGTTGTATAATTCCAAAGTTTCTTGGTAGCCTTGGGTTTCCTTCCAAAGCACTTAGGCCTCACACACTTCTGGGTGTACCTGGGTGCCTGTGCTTTGCAAGAGGGCAGAATGCCTGGTGGACAGCTGGTTGACCCCAGTAGAGCCTCCTCTGATCATACCACAAGCCACTGAGCATTCGAGTCCTGCTCTGGCTGCTTCTCCTCTGGGCCCAAGAATGAGTCTGGAACCCTAGGTTCCATGTTGGGCCCTGGCATGGACACTGTGTCTATGTGCATCTCGTAATCACAGGGCAGGCTCCGGGACTCGAGCTGCATCAGACTGGGTCAAGTGCTGACAAAGGGCAGGTTCTGGAAGGACTATTTTAATAACTCCTGCTCTAGGCCAAACATTTATCTCAAAATAACCCCAAGAGGCAGGTATTCTTTCTTGTCATTCATAGATAAGGAAACAGGTTCAGTGCAGATTTAAAAAAAAAAAATAGTAATAGAACTTACTAGAGACAGCTAAATTTAAGATTTTTTAACAAGTTTTTGTTACTATGGTCTACGAACTGTCCTTGTGGTTTGTTTAGTTAAAACACAGAGCCAACTGTGACAGTGGGCCCAGCATTTGTTAGTAACTCCGAGGAAGCAGCTGAGCTCCCCAACATGACTTATAAGAGGGACTGACTCACTGAGGCTTGGACCTGGACTCCTGAGCCCAAGAAGGCTGGGGACAGTCTGCACAGAACTCAAGGAGTCTACCTTCACAGAGGCCCTCGTGGGACGCACTTATGACGACACAGTGCACCAGCTCACAGGATTGAGGTGCACCCTGGGCTGCTCCCCAACTCCTGACAGGGGGTGAGGGGGAGAGAATCTGGTGCTAAGGAACTTTGGCCCAGGCCACAGGGCCATGTACATGGGTCTAGCTGTGGAATGACCCTAAAGCTGCCAGTAGGCAGCTGGCTTCAGTACAGCTGCTCTGGCCAAAGGAACAAAGCCCACCCCTGGCTGAGGCTGGAATTAGCAATTCGGGGCCACTTAAGTGGGTAGCATTTGTGCTTCTACCAGAGCAGATACAGGGGAGGGAGGGACAGGGGAAATATTTACTTAGCCAGGAGCCAGTTATCTCTGAGCCGCAGCCTTAACTCTACCATCAGGAGATGAGGCTGGGGAAACATTCACTGTCCAGGGTGAAGAAAGCAGCAGAGCCTGGGAAAATGGCTGGGCCACCCTTGGGTTTTTCTTTACCAGTTCCTTGACAGGAAAGAAAAAAGGCACAGCTGGAAAGTTCAGGGACAGTGGCTTCCTATAAAGCAACAAAAAACACCATTCTCCCTTCAGGGCCTCGAGCCATTTCCCACTCTGGATGTATCTCCCATCACAGGGAGGATTTTGGTAGGTGAACATGCACCGGTCTATGCTTGCAGCCTGTCCTGACTTTGACGGTGGCAGAGGGAGAGCAGCACACGGGAGCATCCCTGAGTGGGTTAAGTGCAGCACAGGTCTGCATGCAGAAGGAAAAGGAGACTCGTAGTAACCAAGGGGTGGCACAGCTCCTCTGCAGAGGCCAATGCTGCACAGCTGAACCACACGCTCATCTCCCATGAGCAAAAAGCTAGATGCTGAGAAAGCCCAAGACAGATGACATTTTCAAGAGACAGCTCTCAGGATGGTTTCTCCCCACAGTCCGGCCTCACACAGCTGCAAGGTTACAGGGACACAAATAGTTTCCTGTATGTCTGAAAAAACTTCAAGCTATAGGCTGAGCACCACAGAGAACTTGTGTGGTCCTCCTAAGCCTGGGTCTTTTGAGCAGGCCCAAGCAGCAGTTCTGAAGAGTGGATGCTGGAGGGCCAGGCTTATGAGCTGATGTCCTCTGAAAGTCACAGTAGCCAAAGCCCAGTTCCCCTAGTCCTTCCCTCACTTTGGTGACAAGGTTGCACTTGGGGTGCTAAAGCCCTTCCTGCATATCAGACACTGTTTTGTTCACAGGTCCCTAATGGGACCAGCCACCACAACAGCAATGGCTGTGGTCTGAAAAACAGGAGGCTGAGAAATACAGACTCTTTGCCATAGGAGGCGCACCAGCAGCCTGAGGAGGATGACAGCTGCCTCAAGGTTAAGGATCATTTCCAAGGGGCTCTGTGAATACCCAAATATGCTCTGCAGTCAACACGTCCCCAGCAGGACTGCGTCTTGTTTTTCTTGGTATTTTCCACAAGGCAAGTGAGAGACAGAGACGCTTCCTGAAAACTTTTAAAATGTTCTAACATCTAGTTCTGTGAGGTGGCCCCCTGCTGCAGAGTAAAGGCTTAGGCAAAGTGGGCAGCACCAGAGCACAGGCAGCTGCACTCTAACCTAGGCCCAGGCATCTATCCCTTTGTGATGTCCCCATCCTACTTGCCTGTGTCTTTTTTCCCATGGTTCACTTCTGCATTTATTTTGGGTTTAACCTTTAAAAGTTTTCCACTGTGTCACAAGGCACCTCCCAAGGGGCATGCTCCCAAGAAGTTGAAATGTTCTGCTTCTGCAGCATGAGTGATGTGCTCTGATCACGAGCTGCGCAGCAGCCTGTACATGTTCAGAAAGGACCGTGGTGATGTGGGAGGAGGCTGCCACCACCGCCACAACATCAGCCAACAATGGATCTCAGTCTTGCATCCCTGCAAATGTTCCTGGTCCAACTGTGACTGACTCTGGAAGACACATGGTGCTGTACTTGTGCTATGTGGTGAGGACAGGGTGCTTCACTATTTCTCTAAAGCACCAAGACTACAAGCAAAAGCTGAAGCTAACTTTAAAGCTGAGATGCGTATTAGGCCACAGGAAGAGCTGGAGATTGTGGGGTGGGTGAAACTTCTACTCACAGTGGCTTACACAAGACATTTAATAAATTTCAAATGCCAATAACCTTGAAAGCAAGCTAAATGTTTCCTTCTAAAAATGTTTACAATTTTACAAATCAGATGTTGCACGGGGTTGCTCTCTCACCTTTAAAAGTAGTAAGGCAGTATACAGTATGCAGTCCTGTTAGCCAGTAAGTTCTTAAAACGTGGGATTTGACTGCAAATAGCATCTTCCGATTATAGCTGGGAAATCTAGGGAACACCAGATCATGACTAAAAGTGGAACACAACTAGAAATGTGCCCTAACTTCTTTTTCAAGACACACTGCATCTCTTGGGTCCTCCTTCCTCTGAATCCCAGCAGGGAACCTGGCAAACACGTCCACTTGCTGCACAGGTTTCCACTAGCTAGCCATGTCGTCCTGGCTGAAGCGAGAGCTCCTGCTGCTGGTAAGTGTGGAGGTTGGAGTGAGAATCTTTCAGGACGCAGCTTGTGGTAGCTTTCGGGAGGCCAAGAAGACGCAAGCAGCAGTGATGAGGCCTCAGACCAGGGCCCAGTCTCCCCAAGGTGCTTTTTCTGAGTCCTTCTCCTCCTGTGTAACACAGTTGTTAAAGGCCCAATTCTCCCCAAAATCTCAGTTACAGATGAACACCTCTGCTCCAGAATTGAATCACCATGAAAACACAACGCTGAAGTCTACTTGAGATTTTTTTTTTTGCTCTGAGTAAAATTTTTATTGAATCTCTCAAATATCGCCAAGAAATAGTTTTTGCAAAAGGAGGGAAAATAGCTAACAAACAAATTCAACATGGGAGCTCCCTCTGCTGGTCTGCAGTAGGCTGATATGTGACAAACACATTCCCAGAGACAAATCTAATTTGCTGGAGAAGTGGACAAAAGACAGGTGTGTTGGGCTTTGCCTCAGGAGAGAAACACTAGAAGAAAAAAAAAATCCATGTCTCAAAACAAAGCATAACATTGCTAACAAAACCAAAATTACCTACAAGACTCTCCAAAAACATTACAAAATTTCTAAGACAAAAACTGAGTTATTCGCTATAGGGAGAGGCTCTGCCTGGGGCTCCCCACTCTACTCCACCTCCAGTTAGTAAGATTCTCTGCTGCCCTCATGGCGCATTTAGATGCTGATTCCCTTGTGCTTGCCTCCAAGTCTCTTCTCACAGACCTCCCTTTTACTTAGAGAAAAAAGTCCCAAAGAGCCACAGCAGTGAAGCCTCCCCAAAATTTCATTAAGGAGGAAGTCTCTGGTGAGCCAGCCAGCACCTCAGGGTGGAAAAAGGCAGGTGTAGGCCTGGGTCTGGTTGTAGTAGAGCCACTGTGACCTTGGGTAACTCCATCTTCTTAGGCCTGTTTCCTCATCTGTAAAATGGGTCATACTGGCTCATCTGTAAAGCTTTTTTTATCTGTTCACTCTGAGTCTCAAAATGGAAAGTTTTAAATGACCACATCTGTTCATAGTTCTTTGGAATATAGAGTCCAATGCTGCACTGGGAATGCTTCCAAATAAGAAGTGGATCTCATTGATACTGGATGAGAGTTCAACCAAAACTAGTACTGATGTAGCAGAAAAAGTACACTCTAGGCCAGGAAAGAGTCCTGATCAAGGAAGAGCATCCAGGGGAAGGTGCCATGTGGGTAATGTATCCCATTAAGTCAGGTGGCTGAGATCACCTAACCTTGCACCTTCTGCCCTTCCTTCCTTACCATGGCGTAGGGTTTCTAAACTCTTTAAACTGTAGGTCCTTTTTCACCATGTCCCCAGAATCACTTCTGATTTCAGCTGTTACATGAATGAAGCCAGGACAGATGTCATGGTCCAAAGCCACCATTCCCAGTCTTTTCTGGTCACTGTCAACTTTTGATTCTCTGAAGTAACAGTGAAGGTTTTGCTGCTGACTTACCAATGCCATACATATTCAGAAGACTGTACAACCTTGCAATTTCTTATTTATTAAAGGTCTTTATTGGCATCTAAAGCCATCATCCATAGATTGGAGGTAGGCAGGGAAAAAAAGGGTTTTTCATTTGTACCTTGTCACCCTACAAAGTTATCTGCAGCATACAACAGACTTACTGATGTCTTGGCAGAAGATAGTCACAGGTTTACCTTTAGCTCTCTCTCTTGTTATCTGCCTGCTGGGAGGGTCCACAGCACTGACATGGGCAGAAGATGCCAAAGCAGCAAGGGAAAGGAAAGTGGAAGCTACAGCTAAGTGTCTACTTTATTTTTGGTGCGAAGTTCCCTCATCATCACCATCTTCACTTTTCTTTAAATGCATTATTTTTCTGTTTCTCTCTCCCAACAGCGGGTAATCAGTACTGGAGCCCAGGCTCCAAGGCCACTGGCCTCCATGAGCCTGGGTGTGCTGCAGAGTAGTTCCTGGAAGCCAGGTCACCAAATCAGGCAGAAAGCACTGGCAACTCGGCTGAGAGAACAGAGGGACACTCAGGCAACAATGTTCCTGCCCCAAGGTTTTTCCCTGACCTCCCAAGGGATGTTTCTAGTGTCTTAACACAGTGCTGGACAAAAACAAAGTGCTTTAGGTCAGAAGGAAGAGTTTCTGGGAAAATGTTAATTTTTTTCAGCCTTATAAAGAAACATTAAACAAAGTAAACCAAAATTCCGCCTATCCAACCCAACAATTTTTTTTAAAAGTAGGCTCAGTGATACATGAGCTAAGAAAGATGCATTTTTATATTTTTTTCTACTTATTTCCTATTCGTCACTCTCTGCAGGCCAAAGAATGAGTGGTTATTTCCGAAGGCAAATCTTAACAGTGGTTACTACTACTTATACTAAAAGCAATGCTCCAGGGAGAAAGGAAGTGTTAGTATACAGATAGTCATCACTGGGGAAAGACAAAGGAGTCTGTTTATGAAACTCAGGCTATTCTTAACTAAGAAAGTGAGTCAGAAGAGAAGCTGTACCTTGACCTGTAATTACATTCTAGACACTATATTGTATCTTTGCTCTGGAGTTCCTAAACATGGAGTAAGGAAAACTGCATCTTTCCTGTAATACAGGTCAGCACAGTACTCCTCCCGGAACTCCTCTGATCACTAAATCCTCATGGACTGTGCAAACACAGGTCTCTCCATACACAGAAACATACAGACCAACAAAACTCTAGTTTGAGCGCTCACCCCCCTCAGCAGCCCGTCCACATGACAAGAAATGCACATCTACGATCCAGGGATGCCCTCGAACTAGCTGAGAGCCAAGGAGTTAACCTCGCCTCAGTCCCTGGTGTGAGAGATGAGGGTGAGATCATTAAGGAAGACAGAGGTGTCACTGGGGCAAACATCAGGCAGTGGGTGGTATCATTGCTGCAGACGGTCCTCGTAAGTCCTGGAGGGGTGTCAGCTTGATGTAGAGGGGGTCATTCATTTCCTGAAGGTGGCTCTGTTAGCTGGATAGGTGTTAGTTGTATGGTGTGCTCTGGGAAACCAGGTCTGGAAGGACTGGTGGTGGAGTGAGTGAAGTCGTGGCCGATGGGTATAAATTACCTGAGCATGCAGTGAAGCGGGATAGGTGAAAGCAGGAGGAGGTAGAGCAGGCGCTAACTCCGCTGGGTACAGAGGGTACGGGGCCCACACTTCAGGGCTACTGGGGTAAAGTGCAGGCACTGTGAGCTCATCTGCAAGAAAAGAATAAGGGAAGAGTTAGTGGTTACCAAATAGTTGGTTTCATATCAGAAAACAAAATACCCAGTCACCCCTGAGTCCCAATCAATGTCAGAAGTCACATTATGCTCTTTCTTTTGAAAGACCTATTGGTTTCAGTTCTCCAAACTCTAAGTAAGGATATAAAACATACAAATAAACAAGGCAATAAGCATCTGCTGCCTGGCTGGTCTGCTGAGGTCTCAGGCCTGGGCTCCGCCTTGGACAGTGATGTTGGCCAATTATAGCCAGGGAACCCACGAGCAGTGGGAATTTTCTGCAAAGAACAGAAAATGTGATCCTCAGAGGAATGGAAGGGAGAGAGCGAGCCACCAGGAGCTATCCCATGAGAACCTTCCGCAGGGTCTGTGGGATCCCACAGACTAGAAGCGAAGATTTTCCTGTTTATTATTGCAGTTACTATTGGAAAGCCTGATCAAATATTTCCATTTAGCCCTCAAAAGTACAGGAACTAACACCAGGACATTTAAGAGGTTAAAACTTCAGATGTGAGAAGTGAAAGGAAGAGCCCAATTAAAGTTAAGCTCCAAGGGCTGGGGATAGAGCTCAGCAGCACAGCACCTGCCTGGCAAGCACAAGGCCCCAAGTTCGATTTCTGGTACCAAAACCAAAACAGTACAGTTAAGCTCCATGAAGACACAAACAACACTAACAGTTGCTGTTTGACTATATATTCAAGGGAAAAAAAGTAACCCACAATGTCAACTGTATGCGCTCAAGCTGTACAGCTCCAGATCCATGCAAGTTAAGTGCGGTTTGCCAGATAGAAGGGCAAGTATCTGGGCCTCCCCATGAATCCGGAAGCACCCAATTAAAAGTAATGGTGAGCACACGTGCACATTTCTCAGCAAAAGCAAAAATAACATCGGTCAATATTGTTAGGAATCTGGACCCTATGAAGCGGCAACTTCGATTTGTGCTTTTATCACCTGTCAAAATCTGAAATATCAAGCACATCAAGGAAGCTTTCCAGGCCTGCTGAGGGAGTCAGGAAAGAAGACTGGATAAAGCCATTAGTTACTGCCATTCAGGACTTTCCAGAAGTCTACAAAGCAAGTAGCCCAAGGTCAACAGAATCAACTGCAACTCTTCATTCCTCCAACAAGCCAGTCCAGCATGGATGTCTCCCTCATCCTGCCCACGCCCAGAAGCTTTATTTTCAGTAAAGGAAGAGGATGGACTAGAAATAGCAAGCTGCTTGGCTGGGTGTGATGTGGGGATCGTTCTATGGGAGTGGGGGTGAACCTGTGTCATGCATGTGTGTTGCAGCTGTCTATTATCCCCAACACTCTAAAAGGTTTGCTTTCATTGTATTCTACGGCCCAATCAGGAAGTAGCAGGGCCTGTGTATCAAGAGGGCAAGGGGTAGGTGGGGGTTAGCACAGCAACCTGCATGGCAAAAGCCTCTCACAAAGTGGTGGTAGTGGGAACCAAGAACCACACTTTGCCCACTGAGAGGGCAGTTGTACATTTCCAGCCCTAACATGATACCAGCAATACAGCTTAATATACTGTGGCTGGCTGCTCTCCCTCCTCCTCAACAAGGCAGTTAAAGCATCCTGAGGACCTGAGGATGTGAATACAGATTGCTTCTATATTGAAACTGGAGAGACCAAACCATGAGTGGACTCTCAGTTCTTACTGGGGCAGGAAACATGAGGAACAAAAACTTCTTCAAAACAATCAGATCCACGCCACACTTTAGGTTCTAAGGTATGCAGCTGTTTGTAACTCACAGCTCAGGAAACCCCTCAGAGGGGCTGAAAGACAGCTTCACAGCCCCTGTTTCCTGCTGGGATGTGGCCATATGCTTTCCATTAGAGCAACTCTTGTGGGAGTGCAGCTAGTGGACACTAGCTGCTGCCAGGACCAGGGCCTTGGATTTTAAACAAACAACGACTCTCAGCAATAGCAAGCTATTATTGTTGTTGTTATTGTTATTCTAGCTACTAGGCTATTTTAAGACATTCTGAGGCTCTTACAAAAAAGTCAAGAGAATCTCAGGTTTTGGTACACACATCTCTAGCCCATGTGTGCCTGGCCCCTCCGTCACAGGTGATAAACCAAAATGACACAACTGGTGAAGACCAGGACAGCAGGCATGTTCAGCCCACAGTCTGGTATCAGTCCTGCCTCGGCTTCCTAGCAACAAGTGGCTAACCTGGGGGTGGGGTGCTTCATCTGATAAGGGGGCCAGGAAGTGCTGCCTTCAGAAAGTCTGAAAAATGAAGAACATGTCTTTTAAGGTATTTGGTTGTTCTAAAGAGAAATACTGAAGATAAGGTGGAATCAGGTTTCAATCTTGGTCTGACTGGTAGAATTTATTATTTCCAGACCATTTGACATTCTTATCTGAAGTATTACTTCCCATTAGGTCCATACTAATGCTCCAGTACAATCTGCTAGCTAACATTTGCAGAAAAACCTAGCCCAGCAGAATAGAATGCCAGCTGCTTTGAATCTCTTAAACTCAAAGCTGCAGAACGGTGGCATAGTAGTGAATAAAGCAGAGGCCTAAATGAGACGAAGGTGACTGACACTTGATGAACCCCTGGTTACATTACATCCCTCTCTTCTTTCCTCCCTCATGAAGGAATCTGTGGTTAAGGTGAATGTCAGAAAGTGCACAGCCAGGTGAGGATTACCCTGTGAAACACCAGTTCTCAGAGAGGCCTGCGTTTAGGCTTGAGGCTTAGAACTCTCCTAAACATATGTAGAGAAAAAGCCAGGAGGCAAAATGAGCCTTCTGCATATGGACACCCTTTTGGCCCACTGATGTGTCTTGGGAAAATGAAAAGCTAAGAAGTTGCCTTTCCACAAGCCAAGTACTTCACAGGGAGCAGCCACCCAAATGAAGGGAGGCTGGGCTCTAATGGGGTTCACTTGTTGCACTCACCACCCATCTTGCTCAAGCTTCCTTACAGGGCAGGACCTGCTGCCCAAGGCCCAGAGGGTAGAATGGGGATCAGTTCAGGGGGAGGGAGGATACTTCTCTGCACAAAAGAGGCTGTAGACCACCCAGGGTGGCCCAAGTTGCAGCTTGCAGAGAAGGGGAGACCAGGAGGCCAAGGACCTTTTGTGAAAGCTAATTCCACCCTCAGAGAAGCAGGGTAATCCTCTCCCTGAGCCAGATCTCCCTCCAGCCTTGGCCTTTTGCACTTTTAGAGGGTAATGCTGTTGAGGGCTCACAATATACATCTGAATAGGCCTATTTCTCAGGCAGCAAATATGTAACCAGGAGAGTTAAAAGGATTCTAACAAGGGCTGGAACTTTCAACTCTAGCCCCAATCCTTCTGAAAGAAAAGGACTGCAGCCCAAGGAAAGTTTGTGCCTAAACAGGTTTGGGAAACCATCTCATCTGCCTTTTCATTTAGAGGAGGAAGGAGAAACTTAAAGGGGAAGCTTCCAGTCTAAGGTCTTAATAGAGAGAAATAAGGGAAGCCTTTAACTGACTTAAGATCCAGAAACTTTAAATCAGTATTTATTTTGCCTCCTGGATACTTTTACTTGGAAACATTCCACAGCAACCCCACACTCAATAAACTCCCTCCAAGAGCCTGCCTTCTACATTTCAAATACAAAGATGTCACCTTTCCCCAGGTGCCAAAAGCAGAGACCTTGTAGTACCCTCAGTCTCTCTGACAGTCCCTCTTTCACCAGCATCCAGCTGAAATGACATTATCATCCACTAACCCTAACCCTAACCCTAATCCACTCTGATGTTAACCACTGAGGTTGGACTACTGGAAAGGCCTACTCCTGTCCTCCACCTTGAAAACTAAAACATACAGAATTAACCTCAGCACCAAGAATCAACCAACCAACTAACGAACCAGTCCTAACTCAGTCATGCCAGGCTCCCTTTTAAATCTATCCTGTGAGGAGCCCTCACTAACCTCACCACAGTGTCTTAACTCCACATAGCCTGGCCTTGCCCTGCTGTCTTCTGGCTTTCTCCATGGGCTAGGATCACCATTTGCATTGCTTGACCACACCTGTTTCTCTCCCACTTGTAGGTCTCCCACATACTGCTTCTCTTGCCAGGGACATTCTGCCCTCCAGTCACCTATTCAGGACTCCATTTGGATGCCACTTTCTTGAGGGCCTTTACCTTTCCCCAGTGTGTCCTGCCGCCTCTACACTCCCTGCACCACTGTGGTAACCTCCTGGATGCTAGGCTCTTCTGCCTGCTTACCCAGTGAATTACATTCCATGCTGCCTTCAAAGGTAGAAAAGATCAAACTGCCGGTCAAGTTATTTCCTTGGGAGAGAAATGTGCACATAAGGGCACTGGGATGTAAAATCTCACAGTTCACTTTACAGTGTGTGTCTGAACTGCCAGGGCGCCCAAGTGTTCTGTCTCATAGTTCAGAGCTACCTCGGTACTCCCACTGCAGGTGCTGATGATTGGGGTCCAACATGTAGATGGTCTTTATCTCTAGCTTGCTGTCTACTAAGTTTATTACAACAGCTCAGAAACTGAGCATAAACAGAGGGCTTGTCTGGTAGGTGAACAACAACAGCTAGAAAAAATAACAGCTATGACCCAGAAAGGCCCAACATAAATGAAAAATTTCACTTCATACTAAAAACATTTTTGTGAAACAAGAAAAATCAATCCAGGATTCGCCTAGCAATCTCCTTCTACTCACATACCTCCCAGCAAGTAGCTGGTCCATTCTTGTTAAGTAAACCCTTCAGTGTTCAGGCTGGTGAGGCCCCCTCGAAGGACTCACCTATCAAAACAAGCTCCTCTGAGGATAGGGTGGAAGCTAAGTCCTGGGATGGCTCCCAGGGCCCAGGGCAGTGCACACTGGCTCCCAGTCTCCCCAAATTCACATTCACCTGGGCACCCATAACATGAGTTTGGTTGGAGAAAGGGTCTTTGTAGATGTATCTGTTTAGGGGTCTTAATATGACGGAAGCAGATACTGGAATGATGTGCCTACAAGC